AAGTTCTCGGGGTTGGTTGGCTGTCTTGCTTATGCCTTCTCGGGATTTGCACAAAACTTTGGAGGTGATCTATTTTCACAAGGTTTTCAATGCGATCTCGGGGAGTTGTGCACTCTTCAGTGGTGTGCCCTCTATTTCAGTAGAATTGACAAGTCTTTGTCTTATCTGCTCTAGGAGGAGTCATGGCACGCCGTGGCACTGTTAAGATTTTTATGGCTAGAGCTTGCTCCAAAACCCTTGCTCGACTGGCATTGAGTGGGGTGTAATGCGTATATCTCAGGCCCCACGTTGCCTTTTCTCGGTCCCCCGTATCATTCATGCAGACTCTACCAGAATGTTCTTTTTCTACTTCCTTTCTGGTATGAACTTGTTCGGGTCGTGTCTGGTTTCAAAACTCGGCCAATTCCTCTATCTGCATGTACTTAGGGGCTCTTTATCGTAGGTCATCCAGATCAAGCAGTGGTTTTTTACATATATTGTTCACAAAAGGTCCGAGTCATAGTGCCGTGGTAAGAAGGTGCATGGCTATTGCTAGGTCCAAGTCTCGGATGGCCAGTGTTGTCTTCCCAAATCGGTCCATGAAAGCCCTTAAAGCTTGTTTCTTTTCTTGGCGAATGTTGATCAGGGCTATAGAGGTGTGCCTATGTGGTCGACTTGTGGCGAATTGGATGTTGAAGCGTGCCGACAAAGCCATGAAGGAGTCAATCGACCCTGGGGGAGCTTGGTGAACTAGCTTAGGGCATCTCCAATGGAAGCAACTCATTTGAGTTGTTTCATGCATTGAAAAATGAAAAAAGTGATCATTAGTGTGCCATGTCAGTATTAAGAAACTCAAACACAAATTTATTTCAATGGTAAGAAACTTTAAGAAATTCAAATTTAGAATTTTTTTTCTAATCATTTATGAACCAATTTTAAATTTTTATTAAAAAGGATAATTGCACTACAATGAAAGAAAATAAATTACAAGAAAAAATACACAATAAGTAGATATTAAAAATAAAATAAAGCAATAGTAAATACATAGGTATTATACGAAATTAATTTTTATCATTATTATTTTTGAAACGTTCCCAAATAGGTTCAATAGGATCTGCTTGAAATCTGGTAAGGAACGGTTGCTTGAGGAAGCAACTCTCTCTCTTCTTCAAGCAACTCATGTTGCCACGTCAGAGTCCTCCAATGGCAAGAAACCGGGGCTTGAGTTGCTTCATAGGACAAGCAACTCCCATTGGAGTTGCTCTTAGTGTCGATTCTTTCAAAGACGTAGGGAATACTTTACACCATATAGCGTCCTCCTCGGTGTACAGGCCAACTTGGGTGGTGATGAAGGCATCAAGGTGTTCATCTGGGTCAGTTGTTCCGTCGTACCAATCCAAAGCTAGACTTTTCCAATTATCTGGTAGGCGGGCGTTTATTATTTCTGGGGCGAAAGGTGTTCTTCCTTGCTGTCTTTGTTGATCTAATGTGATCGTCGCAACTACAGTGGGCTAGTTTGAGAGCTTAGGCTCTCTATACCACCTTGAAGATTTGCCTTGGTCTTGAGAGAACCCAGTGATGGGAGTACCTTGAGTAGGCTGCCACGATCTATTGTCACTTCTAAGCTCGGCATTTTCTTTCTTTAGTACGGATAGTTCATGAGCGTCCTTTTCCCGGAGTCTCCTAAGTTCCATCATTGCAGCTCTTAATTGTTCTATTGCCGAGGATCGGTTAGCCAGTTGAGAACGGTCTTTGTAGGATTCTTCCATCCCTTCTCCTTCGGTATGATTCCTTGGTTGCCTTGGCTCTTGGGGCATTCCCAAGTTGTTGATAGTCGTATTCTCATGTTGGCTTCTAGTTGCTACTATCTTGACTCAGGGGGTTGAAACCGTGTAGGCATGGTTGTCAATCTCTAGTGATAACTCGTAAACTCGTACGAGTTTACGAGTTTACCAGAGCTTACCTGTACAACTCGGAGGTAAACTCGTTTTTTAGTGAACTCGGAGCAATCTCGGTGAACTCGTGTAAACTCGCGAGACTACCTCCGTTATTAAGAGATCACCATTTTTTTTCACTTACACAAAACGCACGTTTTGTGTTTTGTGTGTTAGGGCACTTTAGTCTTGTCTCCCACTCTCCTCTCCACTTCAGATCATCTCTTCCTCCGCAGCGCCTCTTCCACGGCTCCTCCTTTCCTCCGCACGCGCCTCTCCTCCTCCGCGCGACTCATCAACACACGCCTCACCTCCTTCGAGTGACTCCTCCGCGCGCCTCACCTCCTTCGCACGACTCCTCTGCGCGACACCTCCGCGCGCGCCTCCTCTTGATGGCTTCCTCCTTCCATGATTGATGTAGAGTGTGAAGGGAGGAGACCTTGCCCTTGATCTAAGCTCACCAAAGGGTAGACAAAGGGAGGGTTGCGGTGAAGGAATGAAGATAGGCGTGAGTAGGAGGTTGTTTGGGCGGAAGTGTTTAGAGGGGTTGGTGTATGGTTGCTCAAGTTGGCTCACTCCAAGTGTAGGTGGAGGCCACTCTAGGTTTCCTATTCTCCAAGGGTGGAGATAGGAGGAGGTTAGCCGAAACTACCTAATGACTAAGGATGGATTTTGAGGCACAAAAGGCTCACTCAATATCATATAATCCAAAGTATTTACAAGTGGTGGGGTGTTGGGTATTTATAGGAGGGGAGGCATCTAGGGTTGCATTTGGAGCAATGCATGGCCGAAATTCACAAGGCAAATGCACTCCAAATGAAATGCCAAATGAACCCTAGATGCTACTTGGTGGCCAAGGATGGAATCTAAGGGGTTAGATTGGCTATGATAGTGCAACAATATCTTATTGATATAGGTATGGGGTTATAGGAATTTTTAGAATAACGTTTTTAATGAAATAGGAGTGGGTATGCAGGCTCTTGTTCTGAGCCTGCTGTATTGAATTATTTTCCTTTATTTGTTAGAGTCTAATTGAATATAATTTTAAAAGCGCTTTTGAAAACTTCTCTACTGAAAAATACTCTTTATTTCCAATAGAGAAGCTCTTAAAAGCACTTCTAATTTGTATTCAAAAGCTCTTAATCTTTTACATTTCTGTTATGGTTCAGTAACAACTGAACACTTGAATTTTTCCTTTATATACTCTTGTATTATCGGTGTAATTCAAATCTTTAAATAATAATGCACTTTTCTGTCTCAACACTCTTTTCTCCCTTACTAGGAAATCTAATCGGTATAGAGAGAGGAAGAGACACAAAAGATAACGAAACACCAAATTGATATTAACTACGATGTATGTCAATATGTTGATATCTTGGTGTGTTCAATAATATGTTCATAAAACCTATAACACTAACCCTTATTTATATTAATCATAATCCTAACTAATTTGGGAAACAAAATGTGAAAGGGAAACCATTCCTAAGAGATAATGAGGAATCTATAACTCCAATATAAAAGTATCCCACTTCCATACACAATGGTTTCCCTTTTCAAAACATGTCTTATTTTCCGTAGAGACAATTCTCCCTATAAACTAGAAACAGCAGTCTGACACACAAAAGCTGCTTCTTCTTTTTTTTCTACCTATCCAAAAATATATTTACATAAACTAATCTTATACTTTATAAGCTAATCAACTTATTATGATTATTTAGAAACACAAAGGTTAGTATAGTTTTGCAGATTCTGAGCCCTTTAATTCATGGTGGCATGGTGCATTTTCACTAGAGTATCAAGTGCAATTCTTTCACCATGGTGGCATGTTGTATATATACTTTTACATCATTTATAGCAGTTTGAACAATGATAAACGTGTGATTATTTACTACTTTCTTTCATACACTATAACTTAATATAAAGTACATAAATTGGTGACTCAACTTGATTCCAATTTGAAATATTATTAGTAGTTATTTTTTGCTTTAGACCACATGTATTATTTACTGGAAACAATTTTGTTTGAGACAGATAGGACTAATATGGATGACAAAGCTCTCTCTCCAAGTATTTAATATAGCAACATACCCAAAACTCAAACTCAAAATCACTAGGTCAATTAGAACAATCCTATGCAAGTTGATTTACATGTTCAATAGTATATTATTTGGTGTTCTAATTTGATGGATTCATTCATATTTAATAGCTAATAGGACATAATTGTAATATCAAACAAATGTTATTTGTAACATTATAAATATAAATTTTGGACTGGATATTTAAAATGAGAGTATAATTTATAAAAAATATATATATAAAAAACTGTCAATCAAACAATATTTCATGAATGAGTTTAAAGTAATTATTATAAAAATCAACATGTGGCCAGATAACAATGTAAATTCTTTTACATTACCAATACTTTAATTAAATTCTTAAATATTTAAAATTTATAATCTTTACATAAAATAAAAATAAATTAGAAAATAAAAAATACTAATTATTAATATGCTTGACTCAACATAAATTTAAACAAATAACCATTTATCTTTTAAAATTCTCTTAAAATAAAAACACAGCTCTTAAATAAATGTAATTAAACACATACTAAGATTACTTGAAATATACATTAAAAAAAATACTAACAAGTGTGAAATGAAAAATGAAATTTATAATATATTTGTATAAATTATTTATGAATGATGCTAATTTTGTTGTGTTTGAAGATAAAATGTCAAATTGAGGATAGATCACAATATCTCTTCCATTTTTTGTCTGAAACTTGTATATATAAATTTATTTTTGTACATACCAATCAAAGTAAACCCTTTGTTTCATATTTTAACCTTATAAAGTCCATTTTTCCTGCTTGTCATATGACCATTTCAGTCATTCTTTGTATTCTTTTCATTTGTACTAATTATAGAGCATTCCCCTCTAGTTTTGGAAATTACTAAGCAACCTCCCTTACTTTGAATTTGACCAGACATACACACATATATTTCTATTATTCATAGACGTATATACCCCCTCCATACAGCCTTCTACCAATTACATACAGGCATGGTTGTCAATCTCTAGTGATAACTCGTAAACTCGTACGAGTTTACGAGTTTACCAGAGCTTACCTGTACAACTCGGAGGTAAACTCGTTTTTTAGTGAACTCGGAGCAATCTCGGTGAACTCGGAGCAATCTCGGTGAACTCGCGAGACTACCTCCGTTTTTAAGAGTTCACCATTTTTTTTTCCACTTACACAAAACGCACGTTTTGTGTTTTTTTGTGTTAGGGCACAAAACCCACGCCTCACCTCCACGGCTCTTCAGATCATCAACCCACGCCTCACCTCCTCCGAGCGTCCGCGCGCCTCACCTCCTCCGAGCGTCCGCGCGCCTCACCTCCTTCGCGGAACTCCTCTGCGCGCCTCACCTCCTTCGTGGAACTCCTCTGCGCGACACCTCCTCTCCGCGCGACACCTCCTCTCCGCGCGACACCTCCTCCCCGCGCGACTCCTCCGGCGCGTCTCACCTCCTCCGTGCGCCTCACCTCCTCCGTGCGCCACACCTCGTCCGTGCGTCTCACCGCCTCCGTGCGCCTCACCTCCTCTCCGCGCGACTCCTCCGGCGCGTCTCACCTCCTCCGGCGCGCCTCACCTCCGGCGCGTCTCCTCTCCTCTCCGCGCGACTCCTCCGCGAGCGCATCACCTGGTCCGCGCGACTCCTTCGCGCCCGCGACACAGGTTTTTAAATTTTACATTTTTACTTTTTTTTGTGATTCATTGAATCATTGTTAATTTCTACTATAATCATTTCTGATTGCGCAACTCCGTCCGACTATCATTTCTGATTCTGTCTATAGTAATTTCTACTATAATCATGTCTGGGAGTGGATCAAATTCTGGTAGTGGTAGTGGATCAGCAGCCTCTTCTGTTGCTAGAAATAAAAATGCCCCAGGAAACAGGTCAGATATTGGGTGGAAGCATGGGACAGATGTTCAGGGCAATGCAAGAAAAGTGAAATGTAATTATTGCTCAAAGATTGTGAGTGGAGGAATTTCTAGATTCAAGCATCATCTTGCAGGGACTAGAGAAGATTCAGAGCCTTGTGCTTCAGTGCCCGAAGAAATTAAGTTACTTATGTTAAAAGTTGTTGTGGAGGCTAAAGAGGCATCATTGAAGAAAAGAAGATTGAATAGTATTGATGAAGAAGAAGTTGAGGAACAACAAAGTCAGGGGGTGGCCTTGGAGACAAATAATCAAAGGAAGTTGTGGTGCAAAGGAAAAGGAAAAGTTCTTACTGGTAGTGGAGGAGGAGTTCAAGCAACTATAAATCAAATGATGAAAAAGGGATATAAAGAAGAAGTTGATGCTCAAGTTGCTGAATTTTTTTACACAAGTGCCATTCCATTCAATGTTATTAAAAATCCAGCATTTGCAAAAATGTGTGAGATGATTGGAAAATATGGGATTGGCTATAAACCTCCATCCTACCATGATATTAGAGAGAAGCTCTTGAAACAAGCAGTCCAGAACACCGATGCATTACTTGAAGAATATAAGGAGGAGTGGAAGAGAACTGGCTGCTCAATTATGTCTGATGGGTGGACAGACAGAAAAAGGAGATCTATTTGTAATTTTTTGGTGAATAGTCCAAAAGGGACTGTATTTTTATATTCATTGGATACTTCTGATATCTCAAAAACTACTGACAAAGTTTTTAAGATGTTGGATGATGTAGTGACATATGTTGGAGAAGAAAATGTAGTGCAAGTGGTTACTGATAATGCTGCAAATTACAAGGCAGCAGGAGAATTGTTGATGAGGACTCGACAAAACTTGTATTGGACCCCATGTGCTGCCCATTGCATTGATTTGATATTTGAGGATTTTGAGAAACACCTGAAGGTTCATCAAACTACTATAAAGAAGGGGAGGAGGATCACTACCTACATATATGGTAGAAGCATGCTCATTAGCATGCTAAAAAAGTTTACAAAAGGAAGAGATTTGATTAGGCCTGGCATGACTAGATTTGCAACAGCTTATTTGACTTTGTCTTGTCTCCATGAAATGAAACCATCATTGATGACCATGTTTAGCTCTGAAGAGTAGAAGGAAAGTAAGTTTGGAACTTCACAAGAGGGAAGAAATATTGAAAATACAATTTTAGATAGTCGATATTGGAAGAATGTAACCATTTGTCTCAAAGCTGCTGCCCCTCTTATGGTAGTCCTTCGATTGGTGGATTCTGGTATTAAACCCGCCATGGGTTTTATATATGAGGAGATGGATTGTGCAAAAGAAAGAATTCAGAGCAACTTTAATAATGTAAAAAAAAGGTAAGAATTCTAAAGTTTGTTTCATTTAATTTAATTAGGTTATTTATGTGTAGTTATTTGATTTATTTCTAATATACTACATTTGGTATTTGTGTAGCTATGAACCTATATGGGAAATTATTGATAAGAGGTGGGATAGTCAACTTCATAGGCCTTTGCATGCTGCTGGGTATTATCTTAATCCTCAATTACATTATGAAGCTAATTTTAGAAATGATGATCATGAGGTGAAGCATGGGTTGTTAGATTGTATGAAAAGATTGGTAAAGGATCCTGCAACAAGAAAAAAAATTAATATGCAGTTTCTTGAGTTTCATTATGCTAGAGGGCTTTTTGGCTTAGATGATGCAAAGGAATGCAGGAAGGAAATGCTTCCTGCAGAATGGTGGGAGATGTTTGGGGATCATTGTCCAGAATTGAAAAGGTTTGCCATTCGTGTTTTAAGCTTGACTTGTAGTTCTTCTGGATGTGAGCGTAATTGGAGCTCATTTGAAATGGTAATTGAAGTTCATGACCTTTTTATGGTTTTTCAATTTTATTTCTTTAGTTTTAGACTTAAATTAAATGATCAATTGATCATAATATTTTTGTATATTATTTTTTAGGTTCATACAAAAAGGAGAAACCGCTTGCATCAAAAAAGCATGGTTGTCAATCTCTAGTGACAACTCGTAAACTCGTACGAGTTTACGAGTTTACAAGAGCTTACCTGTACAACTCGGAGGTAAACTCGTTTTTTAGTGAACTCGGAGCAATCTCGGTAAACTCGGGTAAACTCGTGTAAACTCGCGAGACTACCTCCGATATTAAGAGTTCACCATTTTTTTTTTTCACTTACACAAAACGCACTTTTTGTGTTGTGGGTTAGGGCACTTTGTCTCCTTTTCTCCTCTAACCTCCGCAGCGCCTCTTTCACGACTCTTTTCTCTTCTCCACGCCTCACCTCAGCTCCTGACCTCCGTTCCTCACCTCCGCGCCTCAACCACCTCCTCTGCGCGACACCACCTCCGCGCGCGACACCTCCTCTGCGCGACACACCTCCGCGCGCGACACACCTCCACGCGGGACACACCTCCTCTGCGTGCGACACACCTCCTCCGCGCACACCACCTCCGCGCGCAACACCTCCTCCGCGCGACACCACCGCTCCTCACCTCCGTTCCTCCGCGCGCCTCGCCACCGCGAGCGCAACACCTCCTCCGCGCCGCACCACTGCTCCTCACCTCCGTTACTCATGTGATGTCTTAGTTTTTTATTTGTCTATTTTTAAGAACTTGTGTTTTGTCATTTGTGTGAACTTTTGATCTTAAATTTGTGTTAAGAACATTTATTATTAATGTAATTTGCTATTTGGGAGTTAAAATGTTCAATTATTATGTTATTTTTATTTATTTATTTATTTATTTATTATTGAGTAATCTCTTACGAGTTTACGAGACGAGTTTACGATACGAGTTTACGGAGCCTCCACGAGATTACGTAAACTCTCGAGATTGACAACCTTGCGTGTAGGTATCGGCCCCATGATGGGCGCCAAAATGTTCCTGCTAGGAAACATTATTACGTTGATGCTCTCTGACACTTAATCTTCTTCCAAGCTAAGGAGATAACTTCCCGAATCCTTATCCCGAAAAAGGGGGGAGGGTACCTGCAAAAACACTCCGACGCTCAAATCAGTACTCGATCCAGAGCAATAAATATTGTAGTATTAAATAATCATATCTACCTTTTCTTGTCACATCAATATCGTATTTATAGTAACATACGTGAGCTTGATGGACCTTTAGAATCCAAAGCCTAGTAATCTAGGTTTTATGTTCTAGTTAGGATTCACGTGGACCCTTATTATTAACATTGATTAAGACAGGATAATCTTAATAGTAGAAGGTTCCCCGTACACATAATATTATAAATTATGAATTTAATCACTTCCAGTTCAACCAATCTAACCACTATTCAATCAATAAATCGTGAACCAACACTTTGCCTGTTTAGTTACCAGTCCAATATTAAAAATATTGCCATAAACCACACTAGGTACAGAAGAATAAGAAATATCTTGTTAAAGTTAAACAGATGTAATCCATTAGGCAGCTCCAGCAGGTGCGAAGCAGTTTTTTAGTTAATGCTCCAATCAGCTAGTTGGCACAATAGTTTACCTATGCCAATACTTTTGTTTCTAAAACAGAAGACAAGCAAGAACCAGGCTTTTTTGCATAAATCTCAATACACCATCCGATGTGGAGAGAAAAATCAAAGGATTGATCACCTTCAACTCATAATTGTGCTCAAATCAAAATTAAAATAATGGTTTTTAAGAAAAGAGATGGAACTTGAAGATAATAGTGTAATCAAATTGATTATTGAAATCCTAATACAAAATTGAATTGCTCAAATATTCAGAGAATCCTAGTAAGATCAAAGATGAAGAAAATATTGCCTTTGATGCTATCATATTCTACACATGTACATAAAGATTGGAGCAGACGGGGAGCAGATTCTAGAAGTCCGAATGATATACACAAACAAGACTCGAGTGTGTTATGGGGGTGCGGCAAAGAGGGCACTCTGGCTTTTCATTGCACCATTCTGTGATACAATTCCTACATGGATCACAGCAAACACGAAAATGAGACACAGAAAGAAGCGATGGTAAGCAGTAAGAATGCACCGAGACAATACCAGCAGAATACATGGCCACAGGATGTAGCAGTTGGGTGTTGACGATTACTCAGGCAAAGTGTGCATTTGCTAACCCCACTAGTTGCATGATACTGCTGCAAATACAAAAAGGATTCATCAAAACACACTTCATGATCGTGTTGAGATGACATGACGGAAGTGCTTAATTCTCTTGAGGCTTTTTATTTAATTGTTCTCGAAACAATAGGTTTACTGTGAAGCTCTTTAGACCTTGCCATTTGTCAGTGAACATAATTAGGGGGTTTTTTTTAATCAACAACATTCAACCAAAGGTAAATCGTCCATAGTGTGAACGATTTGGATCATAACCAAAGCACTGATAGTCTACATTAGGACCCATACAATACAAGTTGAGGGAAACACAAGCATTGAAATAACAAAATCCAGATTATACAAATTCTAATTCGCTAATGAACAAAACAAGTTGAAACATATTACATAATCAAACCATACACTTTGTTTTGTTATTTCAACCTTTATAGGCTTTTGCTAAGTCACTGATTAAGGAACATTTAGTACTTTTCATTAAATGCTGCTCATTACAGTACTTCAAAAATTAAGTATTAAATGAATTGTGTTCTCAAATCTAAACAAAAAAAAAATTTTACTTTTTCATTTAATACTTTTCACTACTCGTTAAACCTGAGATTTCAAAAGTTATCCTTTCGGTTTTATGCCTAACCACGTAAGCAAGTCAAAAATCATGTCTGTTCTATCCCACTGCAGAACCAAAAATTTCCAACTAACTTATTATACACCTTGTAACCGTTAATTTAAGCTCACTCGGAGCAACAAGCAAGCACTGAAATATTTCCAATTAAAAAAGGGGTATTGGGCGGGGGGAGGATAATCTGATGAGAGAATTGAACCTCAGAAGATGAAGAATCAGAGGCCCAACTTCCTTTGTCAATATCTGGAGTAGCCAGAGTACCCTCTTCATTCAGAACAGGCAAACCATGTCCTGTAATACATGACAGAGGAATCCAGTTATGAAAAAAACAAACAGAAGAGGCAGAAAAATAAAAAATGTCCAAAGCACATTGGTATATATAAATTAAGAAAATGAAAAATAACTGAATAAATAATCATCACTAACCTGTTGATCCATGATGGGTTGCGAAGGATGCTTGATGAACTGAACCAGCAATTGAAGTAAAATTTCTTCGACGCAGCCCTTCAGAAGCTATTATACAAAGCTGAATCAACAGAAATACTCCTAGTATTTGGTATCTGCAAAGAAGCAAAATCGCAGAGAACATTTGCTGTAAATCTAAAATCTCAAGAGAAGAAACATGGTTTCTAAAATGACTGATAAGAAATGATAGGGAAATTTAGGTTGGTGGAAATAAACAAAGGTAATATCCAACTATAAAAGGTCACATTATGCTTCATGAGAAAGGAAACTAAGGGAATAACAACACAAACTATCATTTGCGTGAAAGACCATTTAGAAAACAATTACAGGGGGAAGCCTAACCCAGGTTTAGTACATTTAGTACATCAAAACACAGACAAAATTAAAATTAAATTAAAAAAATAACAGTGGGAATCAATAACTGTTACGATCATACGATGTCATGTGAGGCAAATTAGAGAGGAAAAATTCCCAAATTGCCCAAACATTTTGTCAAATCTTAAAATTTCAAAGGGCATTACCTGGGTCTTTGATTTGATGCTTTTCCAATAAATACATATCGAATGCCTGCAGCACGCTTGGATATATGATAATAGAGGCCTGCAAAGTGAAACAACGGCAAGATTTAGAAAACTTGTCTTTACACATTTCACAACTACCATGAACCCATCAAGTAAACAATACCTTCAAAGTAGAATAACATGAGGTTAGCACGAAGAACCAACTGCAACAACTCGCGCACAAAAGGGAGCATCTGGTAGTGGGGCATCAAAAATAGATTCAGCAGAAAAAACAAATAATTGCATTTCATTAAGTCAATTAAAAGCAGTCAGATTGTTTAAAAAACATCCACAGAAGGGATGAGACAAAAGCTGTGTCCCATAGAAGGAGTGACCAACTATAACCTAACTTGTAAACTCCCTGATAATTTAAAAAGAACAACCAACAGTATATGGTTGTAATAACAACTATCAAGCGTTCTAAGAGGATAATATATTGACATCAGAATCCGTGTTAAATGAGCAAAATATCTGTAGGGATGAATTAATATACCGTAGGCCATCTCTGAACCAAATGCAACCAAAATGCACTCAGTTTCCCCTTCAACCTTGACATAGTAGTAACAGATTGTCCCGACAAGGATGAAGGACTGGTGCCTGAAATCTGAGAACTAAGGCTCCCGTGTCCATTTTCACCAAAACCCTCAGCAGACTCCAAGTCAGCAAGGACAATGCCTCGTGAAGCAATTCTAGAACTGTGGAATTAACAATCAAATCATCAGAAAATTTGACAGACACAGCACAATCAAATTGATAACTGGATCAACATGAAGGACCAAGAAAACTAAAAAACCTTGAACAAAACAGGCAATAATCAACCTGATTCGTTCCGCGATATATGGAATAGCCGTCTGATATACAATGAAAAGAGCACGTCTAGCAGGGGTTGGAGGAAGTCCATAAGGCCCAGCAACCTAATAAACCAATCAACAACATTCATCCGATATCAGAACAATAGGGGGATCATCAAATCAGGTACAAAAATCCAGCAACACAAAACTCAAACCTCCAATTCCAAAATACAACAGTATCAAGGTTTTTAAAAAACAGTCCACAACCACGATTGAGACCGAAACGCCAAGATATTTGGGAAATCCACAACCACAATTGTGATCACATCATTCATATTTGTCCACAATTTTCAAGAATTCAACAGTATGAAGGCTTTAAAAAGAGGTCCACAACTGCAGTTGAGGTAGCAATGTCACAACCACCACATCGATCATTCATATTTGTCCGCAATTTTTCGCAATATCAAGTATCA